TGCAGGTCTATTGTCCGCTGCAGGTCTATTGACCACTGCAGGTCTGTTGACCATGGCAGTGCTATTGACCATGGCAGCTCTGTTGTCCACTGCAACTCTATTGACCACAGCAGTGCTATTGACCATGGCAGCTCTGTTGACCACAGCAGTGCTGTGGGGATGGAGTTGCCCTCCTCCTGCAATGCTGTGTCTGTAAACGTCCTGACAGCATTTGCAAAGTGCCGCTTTGAAGCCTCCTTGATGCTTTTTGCCTGGTTCTTTCATTTAAAATAATAATAATAAATGCTAATTATAGGGGGGAAAGCTGTTATAAACACAGCTATTGCACAGACCTGTATAGGTGCTGTTTTATACAAATTGCGTGTAATTGAACGCCTTTTTGTGTGGCTGGCAAGTTTCAAATCTAAGCAAGCATGTTCTCATCGAAAATTTAATTGAACATTTGTAGTTTGCAAAAAAAAAAAAAAAGAAGCTTATTTTTCTGTGAATTCAATGAAATATTTAGCTTTATTTGTCATATTGTATCAAAGCATGCCGTGCTTTGGCCGAGGACAACTAGAGACGGATCTAGGGTGGTGTTTAACCTTCTCCATTTCAATCTGGATGATTGTACAGGTTGCTGTGTTTTCTGTCAAAATGAATGGAGAAGAGGAAACATGGAAAGAGCTGGATGCCGAATTTGATCGCTGCATTGGGGATGTGAAGCCTCACATACTAAAGCTGCAGCATAGGTCAGGTAAATACGGTAAAACTCGTGAGTGGAGAAGCACTAATAACAGTATTCTTCCTTACTGCTAATTATTAGGTGTATGTGTATTGCTTTACCAACCAAACTAGGTGCTTGATGTTACAAGGCATTGTTCTGTGGGGGTTTTGTACAGCTTAGTTGCTTTCTAAGTCCCTGTTGCTATTTTTTGTGTCTTGCTGATACATGTTGGATTTTCCCTGGTGGTATTAGTGGTTATACATGTGTCTATCTTTTCAGAACGCCAGAGGTGTGCACTGTGGGTTAAAAAACTGTGTGAGCCCTCAGGAGCAGGTACAGGAATAGCGGGAAGGAAGAATCGGAACTCATATGCAAAACTTTTGCTCCACATGCTGAAACGAGGAGTGCTAGAAGATCCTTTTACACATGAACCAGAACCAGGAATGCTGAAAACATTACCTTCATACATGGTGAGCGTAACCTTATTGCTTAAATTTATTCTTGAAAAATACCTGCAAGTTCTAGATTTGGTATAAAAACAATTTGAATGAATTGAGTGGTGGTGTGTGTGATCAGCACTGACTTTTATGTTCTGTATCTTGTAGCCGATATTTGAAATATCTTTCAGTGAACAAAATCCTCTGTCAGAGACTTGTTTCTTCTGAATACAGATTCTAAGGCTTATAAAAATAGGTGTTAAAGAGCAGAAAGATGATACCTGCCTAATTTTTTGAAAGGATATAATTTTTCTTAAACAGCAGATTGCTCTCTTGCATGGAATATGATGTGCTTAACTGATATGACTCAGTAGTCTTCCTTTCTGGCTTTTGCCATGAACTCCAGCTGTTTAAACTCTGAAAGAAAAGATAATGGTATTGCACGTAGGCAGTGTTAAGCTTGTAGTCTGTTTTCTGAAGACCTGAATATAACATGGCATGCATCAGCTTCACTGGTGCCTGACCAGTCAAGTTACTTATGCTGAAGGGAGTAAAGTGCAGGAAAACACTGAAATGTGCATGCTGTACTAATTGCCATGTGTGGGGAAGTAATATTTGTACACCTCATTGACTTCATCTGAAAAATAATTTTAATGCAACAGATATTTGTGTAAGAAACTATATTAATAGCAGAAAGAATGTATTTGTGTAAGTAGGTTCTAGTGTTGATTTTGTATTTATTTTAATTACAGTTAATTTATTTTGATGAACCAAATTCAACAAGAATTCCAAGTAGTAGCCCAGACTACTTGCCTGACTGGGTGATGGGAGAGTTAGGAGAAGGTGAATCCATGCACGAGGAATTGTGGACTTTATCTTCTAAAGAAGAGTCATCTTCAGCAACAGCACTTACATATGAGTAAGACTTTTGTATTTGCTTTATTCAGTATTTGATTCATATGTAATGTATGTTTGGTCTGGTAAGCTTTGTATGTTTTAATTTGCATATACGGATTTATTACACTTTCTCATGGACTCATCTGAAATAGTGTTTCTACTTTATGTACAGAAATATCATGAGTATCTTTCAACTTGATCACTTTTCTACTTCTCTGTTATCTCATTGCTCCATTATGTTATGTTATGTTATCTGCTTCCCATACTCCTGTATGTCTTCTTCCAACTCTCATAGTTCTGTCCTTTTCCCCTTCCTGTTACGTTTAAACACAAACATTTAAAATGTTTTGATTATGCCATCTGCTACAAACTACATAGGCTTTGGCAGCTAGTGCTCTATGCCTAGATGCTGCATGTTTGCACTGAGGGTAACAAAGTTTCACTATAGATTGTTTGTAGCTGTACATCAGAATTTGGAGTATCTGTAGCTGCATCTTATTTTTGCAATCCACTGTGGATTTGCAAGTACCAGCAAGCTTAAACTGCATGTTTATTTCCTATTATTATTTGGATATAGAGCTCTTCCTTTCCCATCTGATTTACAAAGCAGCTAAAGGGATGAAATATATCAGGTTATTAAGTCTTGGTTTCCTGTTGGCTTTTTGATGTGTACACTTAGAAAAAATGTAAGTCATTATTGTTAGCTATTAATTTTTTAGGCACGTTGATGTTTGTGCTGTCTTTCAAATTCCTTCTATTGCAATGCCAAGTCTTGAATTTTTAAATGGCTCAGCTGTGATTCATGCAGATTACAGGCACTCTTGCAGGTCATGCCACCTTGATATTGAGGATCTTGAAACTTTTCCTCCTATGTATCCCTTAATGGTTGTGCAATTGTAACAATCATTTTAAAAATTGCTCTTGAAAGTGATCTGTCTCATGATTCCAAGTGCTACATTGTTAATACTGAGGGGCTTTGTGGTACATCCCTGTAGCACACAGGTGGTGTGGGTGAGAAAAAAAGGCGTAAGTCACTGAAGTAACCAGCTGTGTTACCATGTTATTACTTCTGGCTTTGTAATAAGAAGAACCATTGGGAAGAACTGTCTAAATAGTAAAGCAGTTAGGCCTAGCCTTATGGAAACAAGGAATGTGTTGTGCTTTAGACATGCTCTTTGAGACCTTAACTAAATGTGTGTAGCAGAAATGCTGAGTCATGGCCTGAAGCAGTGATGGAGCACCTGGTGGAAAGGCAGGGCCAACACATGGGTGCTCAGGTGCATGCAATAAATCTGAGTGACCATAAGGGCTGGAGCTAGGATTCACCCCTTCCCAGCCCTCATTTAAGGGTTGGCAATGGAGTGATGCTGGAAATCTGATCTCCTTTTTCAGTCCATACCTTAACATGAGGTTTAGCTTGATCTGGCAAAGTTTCCCTGGGATGTGGTTGGGATGGTGAAGTTTTATTTTGCTTTTTCTTTTTGGTCTTGTGGAACTCCTGTTATATCTATACTGATTCTTGAGGGTCTGGTAAGTTCTCTGGAGGCATGTGTTGCCTATTGAATTGTGGCCAGAGAAGCAAGTAATGTGGTAGAAGAGGTCATTGGCTCAATGAGTTCTGGAAGTGGAATCTGCTCTGCTAATAGAACTTACATGCAGCTCCGTTCTCAGTATAGGGAAATTTGAATTTGGTGTGTTGGCAACTAGTAATTTTGATAATTCTGTATATTACATGATTTTTTTATAGCAGTAGAAAACTGTTAGACATGTGACTAACACAGGAAGAAATACTGAAGGGGATTGTCTCGGCTACTGTGTTTCTTGGAGATGGTCTATTTAATATCTATTTACGAGTGTCTGTTTTAAGATATTAACTGTAACTGATGTGAAGATCAAGTTTTTCTTTGTATTTGCAGTTTAGAACCTGCTATCAGTGCGAGTAAAGACATAAAGGCATTGAAACACCTGAAATCTGCATCTCTTAAAGAGAGCCAGCAGATGGCGATCGTGTCACATTACATTTCTGTCTGCTCGAGGATGTGTGTAAGGAGAGCTGCATCCATAGGCATGTGACATAGTGTGATGGAAATGCTGTATTCTAGCCATGACTTAGTTCTTACAGATAGACTAAAACATTTTCTCGAGGCAGAACAGATATGTCAGTGCTTATGAGTAATTTTTTTTTGATGTTTGTTTATTCAAGTTTCTCTCTTCTAAAGGAAGCAGACAAATGGAGGAGTTTTGTTTGTAGTTATTTTTATCTTGTGAAATGTGTGCTGCTGTGAAGGAAGGTTTTGGCTTTTCCTGATCAGAAGCTGTTTATCTGGCTAAAGAAAAATTAGGTAGGCAAATCTTACATGGAAACTAGGATGTAGGATCAAACAAGCTGGTCTAGAAAGGTGCATCATGACTAAGAAGTATTCTTTCAAGTTTCAGAATGTATTGTTTGGACAAAAATCTGACCTTCCTGACTGTAGGAAAATTCTATTGTATGTTCATAGCATTACAGATTATGCCTGAGAAACATTGTTACAGATAATGTGTGGCTGATGCTGCACAAGAAAGAACCAGTGAGTTGCCCTTGCTTTTTTTCCAAGTAGGAAATCTACAAATCTCCTTTATTAGCAGCAAATTGCTTCCTTCTTCCATGCTAGTTCATGGTTGTGGTTGAAGCAGGAGTCATGGGGCTGGTGTCAGGGCTGATAGCTCTGCACCTGCCTGCTGTGGGAGGAGAAAAAGCAATTCTTAAATAACATCCTGTGGTTGCTGGAGCCTGACTTGATAGCAGGAGGATAGAAAAAGAAGTGAACTGAGCAGTGTATGTTTGATATGAGGGAAGCTGCAGACCATTTTAGTTTTTGTAATCTGTTTGTACAGTCAAAGTGGCTTCATTTTCAGAACAGTAAATACAGAACCAAGAATATAATTAGACTTTACTTAATACTTTTTCCTGTTTAAAAAAATACTAGAGGTAACTTGTTGGTTGGTTTGGATATTTATTAGCTCCTAATCTCACAATAATAGGAGCATAACTTCTGTTCTTTCTTATTTTAAACAATTTGAACTTCATTTAGTTGTTAGGTAACCTGAATGTTGTTCAGAAAAATCCATTGATAAAAGCCCAGACTTACTGGTAGGTAAAGATCTGTCTCCTTTCATTGGAAGATAACTTTGTGTAAGATGAAGTCTTAGTAAGATATGAATGAATTGGAATGCTGGAAAAAGACAATGTATTATTATCCCTCTTCTGTTGTTTTTTTTTTAACATCTAAGACTTTTCTTATCTAAACTCATCTACTGTACTGCTTTGTAATAGTTATTTTGCATCCATGTATGTTGTTGATATTGATTGTTGCTAGAAGGGAAGGTATGCTTCCAGTTGTTGTATTTCACTGCTTCCTGCTGTTTTGATGAAAGCTGGGGTGCTGTGCTTCTTGAAAAGTTAGTCTGTGCATGACTTCCTAGAAGCAACTTGTTTATATTTTACATACAACAGTTGTCTCTTTCTTCATAAACACTTAATTCATCTCAGTGTCTTTTGGCATAACTTACAATGTAATTTTCTGCCAGATGGAAAGAATGAAGGATATTTTAATGGTCTGACTTGATTTTAATACTATATAGCTAGTCATAAGAAGGTGGATTTACTAACAGGAGTTTTTAATTATTTTAATGCATGTGGATTTGACACTAGAGGATATACTGGAAGATGTCTTGCTACTGTTTTGGATCTTTTGCTGTATCAACCTACCTAATAAACTCTTTTTTGTTTGTTTTATTTTGTCCCATCTTGCTGTTCTTTCACTGTTCTGTAATTGAGAAAGGTTTGTTATCCAGGTTTGTGAGTGACAGTTATGTTCATGTATCTCCTATTTTTAATTCACCTTTTGTTCATACAGTTCATACAAAAAACTTTTCCAAAAAAAGTCTTTGTCCTTTTCACTACTAGACAGAACATTTTCCTTCTGTACTTGTACTGTTGTGCTGAGCTTTCCTTACCATACCTGTGTATATATTGCAACAGTCTATAAAGCAGAACTGAAGTAAAATGCAGCTACTACAGTCTTCGATTTCTCTCTCGGATGTGTTGACTCCACCTTGGTTTTTTCAAGACACTGCTTTTCTACTGAGCTGTGTCTTGCCCTTGTCTTCATGTTTGTGTGTTATGTAAGGACATACCTTGACCTAGCACAACATTTTTGGTACTTCCTGAACCAGTCTTCCCTATGGGTAGCCAACCAGCATCATCATTCCATTTTTTTCTCTGAGTTGTCAGTCTTTATCCTATTGTGTCTGATATGTTTAGGAATAGCAACCTGGTCTACGAGGAGGAGTCCCTGCCTATAGCAGGAGGGCTGGCACTAGGGTCCCTTCCAACCCAAACCATTCTATAATTCTATGATTTATTCTAAAATCTATTGGGAGGCATTCGGTCATCCGGTAATTGAGAAATGCAAAGAGCACTTCTTAATATACTAGGATATACGTGATGTTAGTTCTCACTTTACTGTACTGCTTAAGACTTTCATACTCCTTTTTAAAGACCCTTTAATAATAAATTCCTTTTTTATACTATTTTTGACCTTTATGTCTTGACAATATCTTATCTTTTAAAAAGGATTTTAGTTGAGGAGTAAAATCAGTTGTGTGACACAAGTTGTTGAAAATGAATTCTTTTCTTTCTGCTTACTCTTTTTGTAATAATAGAGAGAGATTCAAGTATGATGGGAAGCCAACATTGAGATCACAGTCTACGAGTTCTCTTCTCCAGAATGATGAAGATGACCTAGCAGCACCTCTGCCTGTAAGATGCTTCTCCTTTTTCTAAGAAAACTTACTGCAGTTTCAATGAATTGCTTTTATATATCCCTGTGGAGCTGTTTTTTCTTGTATGAGTCATGATCCCTGTGTACAGATGCAGATATTAAGGAAGGAGTGACACAAAAGGACTAAAATCAAAACCTGCCCTCTGCAAGTACATGGGGGAAAATAACTTCTTATAGGATGTTCTCAAATCATCCTAAAGGTTGACCTATGTTTAGTGTGCTTAATGTCTACTGCGTTGTTAATCCCAGGCTTAGAAAATAGTTTGTGTTGACATCATCTTTTAGTACAACATGCTACTGGTAACTAAGCTATTTAGATTAAAGCTAATCACAGGTATCATGACACAGTTAGGAAGACCTTTGTAGGTATTGCCAAATCTAACAATGTTTTTTTTTTTAACACCGTGTCTCTGTCAACTTTTCTGATATTTTATTTGACTTTTTCTGTTCCAGGACCATCATAATAAGAAAACTATTTCTGTGGATGACAGTGACCTTGATGCGCGTCTCAGTAGTTGGAATCTTGGGGTAAAAAAAAAAAACCCAAACCAGTGCAATACTTATATACTTGAAAACTCCTTATTCATATAGTGTACATCTTTGAATTTAGTCAATAACATTTTATGCAAGAATCAGTCTTTTAGAAATAAAGTGGTAAAGGTTGGGAAAGCTAATTATGAATTAGCCTAAAAGGAAAATGTTCAAATGTCTTATTTCTAAGCAATATTAATTTTATTGTCTTTAATATAATTATTCATAGGAAAAAACTATCAGCTGGTCAAAACTAAGTATCTTTTTCCAGTAGAAATGTGGACTATTTCTAGAGAACTTGATAATATTTGAATTTATGCTAACATAAAGAAGAGTTTGTTGATGTATTATTAATAGGTGACCAGATAATCCTAATTCTTTACACTATTGTCAGCCCAGAGTGATATGACAGAATTTTAAAGTGTTGGTTGTTTTGCATGAATGGCTGAGTTCTCTTCAGAAGAAACATAAATGATAAGAGAATGTTAACTCTTTTTGTGTCCTACTCAGTGTTTCTCCTGCTGTTTTGGTGAATTTTAGCATTCTAAATGTAAATTGCATGCTTTCTTTTCTTCTGAGAGAGAAGAAAGTCTTGACCTTGAGGCAATCCAGGAGCTGCCTGACTGCTTTCTCCAAACTGAGGGTGTAGATAATGAAAAGATTAGTCTGGGGGATTGTTATTGCTCCTCAGAGCTCCTTCCATTTTATGGAATAATATAAGATTGATTTGTAGCAGTCCTCAGTTTAAAGAAGAGTATATCCTTCAGGGATTGTCTCTTCTTGTTTTTTAAGTGAGGAGAGCTGATTTTCAAAAGCTTTTCAAGAGTAGTTAACTTCAATTCATGAAATTGCTCTTCAGGTGACTGAAACAAATGTACCAACAGTCACTTGCAGATTTTGAATACTCAGATTACATAAATACCTGGATTATATGGTTGTTACAATACCTTGAGCTGCTGTAAGGGGGTACTTGCTTGTGGCCTCTTACAAATTATTCCAGTTGAGGCTGACAAAGAATCCCTGATATCAAGCACTTCGTTATCAGTGTTAATCTTCTTTCTTGCTTGTCCCTTTAATTCTATTTTTTTGTCTTTCTAATTGAAATTTCAAGTTGCATTCATACTGGATTAATAATAGAGGGTTATTAAACTACAATAATCATCCACTGATATAGAAAGTCTCTTGGATAACAAATTGGCTACAATGACACACAAATCAGTTGTTTAATTACCGTCAATGAGAATGGACTTGAACCAATTGCTAGTGAGAGATTTTGATCACGTGGTGGGACTTGGGGGGGGTTACAACAAAAAGGATTTGAGGTCATAAAAGAGAGGCCTCTAAGTGCTTGGAGTTGAAAAGTGTATCCCTGCTATGGATCATAGCCTCCAGTGGATATTTAAAGTAATCTTATCTTTTCTGTAGCAAGGAGAGGTCAAAGCCAAACAGTCTGTATTTTGGATATACTTATTATTATTGGTAATAACCTTTTCTATGCAAAAAGTCACTCTCACATCACTTTGCTGGCTAGTATTGTTGCTTCTCATTAGTAATAAACTATTTTTTTTTGTTTGCCTTGCAGCATTTCTGGTTATCTCTATCAAACATTTTATTGTTCAAGTTCTTTACATTCTAGGCATGATTGGTTAAATATCTTTAAAAAAAAAAAACAAACAGTTTTGATTGTGATAAGTTTGCTTTCCATACATGGAATGCTAATATTAACTAATTTTAAATACATCATAAAAATGTATTTTTCTTAGCCCTTATTGACTCTTATCTAAACTGATGTGGGACTGTGCTTTATGAAGTGTTAATGCCTTGAAGTTGCATTTGCAGTGTAGAAAAGAAAAAATCCGTTTGTATTGTTTGAAGGGAAAGTTTCAGAGCTGGGGGTTTAGACAAATTCAAGTAATCTTTGGCCATTTTGTTACTCTGAACTCTTTGTCACTGTTTAGATATTTTAGAATATATTGAAAAGTTCCTTAACTATCTTTTATCTTTTATTAACAGCTGTCAATAAGCTTCTTCATTTTGTTGGAAATTCAGTATACGTCATGAACGGGACATCCCCACATTCCCTTTAGTTATGTTCAAGAAATAATTAAATATTGTAAAATTATATGTGGACAGAAGCTGGTTGGCTAAAGCAGTTGCTTGCCTTAGAAGCTTTTTTCCTTCTGAACTTTAAGGTTGCAGATAAACACAATTTTTGTATATAAAATTTAAGTCATGTCTAGGAGTAAGAATGAATTAAACCCTTGTGTATTCTTATCTGACCAACCTGTTTTTCTTTTCCTGATACTTCTGGTACTATAGGGAAGTAGCAGAGGGGTTTTTAATCAGGGAGAGTGTCATCAATTTTTCTTATTGAAATTCAGCCAGGACAGGAGTGAAATCTCCAGCTTTTCTAGAAGTGGTGTCTTCAGTCCTCAGTACTTGGGCACTCAGATCTTTTCCGGAAGAATCTATCCTGGGAAATGTTATGGCATAATAAAGGTTTAAGAATATCAAGGTCAAAGGAATTCTGTGGTCATTGGCCTGAAATTCATTCTCCTTGCTTGGAGGAATTCTATATAACACTATATTTGCATCTGCTTTAACCCTGAGTTCTTGGATGGCTGCAGCAGCAGTGCATGATATATGTTTTGTGTGCTTGGCTCATGCCTGCCTGTGTCTTTCCAGTCTAGTTCAGCTCAACCACTTCTGTACAAACCATTTCATTATCTTTTGTTTGTTTTTTTTAGTCTTTCTGCTTACTATAAACATATCTACCGTATATGTTATGGTGTTGGAGGGCAGCAACGCTGTAAAAACTTTCCCACAGTGAACTCCAAATGGTGTTGTGACTTCAAAAAATAAATTCTACTTCCATGCTGACAAACAACCTTCATGTGCTTTAATGTCTTTCCACTAAGACTGCAGAAGCAGCATTAAAGTGAACTTCCCTACAAATTATGATGTTAGATAAGAATGTCCTTACTCAAATTTCCTGAAGCTACTCAGCAGTTATTTCTGTAGGGAACATGCTGGCTGGCTGGGTTTGTTAGATTAAAGTAAGAACTTAGGGCAAGGTTCAGTTTAGTTGTTTACCATTTCAAAATCTTAAGTGTTCTTAACTCTTTCATGTGTGTTTTTCCATCCTTGTTTTGAAAACAGTCGCATTTCGTCTTTGAAGAAGCTTACAGGGGGAATGTGCAGCAAGCCTGCTGCTCCAAATGTTTTTTTCCTGCACGTTAATATATACAACATACCTTCTGATTTGTTTCTGAGCAGTCAGAAGATGCCATCATGTATTATTGAAAATAAATATACTGTGATAAGCATCTTCCGAAGAACAAAATGTGACTTGGGAAGAGGTAGCATGAAGCCATAACATTACCATCCTTGTTGTTATGATGTTTACTCTGTCAAAAGAGCAGAAGCTTTGGTGTAAGACTGACAGAAGTTCTGTATGCTGCTCTCAGCTTGAGGATGTCCTGTGACAGGACTTAGTGCTCCTGCACACTCTGTGCACTGTCATTGCTTTTGTGAGAAACCCTCTTAACTCAGCTTACTTTTCCTATCAATGCGTCACTCATTGCTTTAATTGCTGGCTTTTAAGTTCTGTGCTTTAAAAATGCATCGTTTTGGCTGCTGTGTGCAATAGAAACTGGAAATGTTGGGGTTAAGAATTATGGCTTGTTTACGTCAAACTCAGTTTTGGATTCTGTGTTTTTATGCTGAATTTTCCTTTATCTTTCTGAATGTATGGGGGTGGGGAGGGAATGTTAACAGAAATAGTCTACTGTATGGAAAGCATTTTTTTTTCCTTCTTAATGGGAATCTGATTATGTATAGCCCTCCCAGAGCCAAGATTTACTGGTTTATGGGGACTCAAGAACTAGAAGGTGACAGTGCCAGTCCTCACAAACTGAAAAATGGTTTCTTGTCTGACTGCCCAATAGAAGAGGAGAAACAAAAGTCTTTGCTACAAAGAGATTCAAAATGTCATTTTTTATGAAGAAGTGGTATTTACAAATTAGAGTTCAATTCTAGTTCAAATAAAGATGTCTTTCATGATGACATTTATTTGGTTCATACTCTTAAAAAAGCATGATGTGATTTACTGTTCTCATGGCAGTCCTTCAGTTTCATACATATGTATTTTGGTTTGTCTTTGACCTTTTGCTTATTATTTTTAAATTTGCATGTTTCTCATAAATACAAGCTTTTTTCTTTTTTGGGCATTCTTTATTGTGATATTCCTTCTTTAATGTGGTATAATTTTGAGAACAAGAAGTTTTGCAGAAGGCCAGCATGAAAAGAATGAATGTTGAAACATTAAATGTTTACAGATCAGTTTAAGTGGATAGAATCCACAACAAGTAACAAAGTGGGAACATTTAACTTCAAAGCACATATGGCTGCTGTTACAAAATCAAAAAACGAGGGACATGGGTCATGCAAAGTATTGGAGACACACATTTTCCTTCTCCCTTATAAACAAGCAAGATATACCTTAGTAAACAACTTGATGGTCAGTGGTCAGATAAGGTATTTAAATTAATCATAAATATTTGCAACTTTTTTTTTTTAACTTAAAAAAAGCAAAAGTGTTTTTCTCAGTAGGTGCAGAGAAGGTTTCCTTATTCATTAATGTCTACCCGTATTTTTTTTTGCTGTGCCAATGACAGTGGCATATTTTTAAAGCAAAAAGCATAAACCTTTATATGAGACTTACATTTTAGTAAACTCATTGGACAAGGAAAACAGGTTACTTAATAAGTTACTTACCATCAAAAATACATCATTAAAATATTGGATAGTACTGTTAATTGAAACTGAAGACACGTGTAAAAAAATATTAATATTTTCAAGTACTTCTGGGTGAAATATGATAACTTTAACAGCATATAGAAATCCTACCTAACCTTTTAGGGAAGGAAATGAATAACGCTGTATCGAATCAAAATTTCAGAGGGATTAAGCCTCTCTTACCACTGATAAGTTCAACACAAAAATTTATTTAATAGTGCTGGAGAAAGTGCAAACATCTGATATATTTGCCACACCTCATAGATCTATTTAATCTTTCTTGTTAAATAGAGTAAATTTTGTAAAATATGTACTGTAATCACATTCCAATTCCAAATCTCACTGCCACATTTTATGGGATTATACCCTTGAAAGCTTCTCCTGAGTTTTACAGTCTCTGTGATGAAATGTTTGAATCCCATCGTCTGAGGAAAATTAAAAAGATACAGCTCTCTGATAGAGGAATTGGGCTCTGAATGGTGTCCTGTATTCAGTTATTAAAAATAGTGATTGAAAGAGCTGTTTTAATTGTACAGTACTGCTAATGAATTATTTCCTTGTTTTGTCTCTGTCTTACATACGTAGATCCAGTTTCAACAGTCACTTTTCAAAAACACAAGATTAAAATCGCTGTAATCAGGAATATTCTCTAGCTTTACACTAATTTAAATGGAACTTATCCAATAAAGTTCTTTTGGTAGAAACTGTATTTAGCAAATCCTATAAAGCTGTTTAGTAGACTATTATCTAGCCAATCTTAAAGTCATTGGCTCATTTTGAAATTAAGATAAACGATATAAGATATCAAGACTTCCATTAAAACCTTTCTCACAGCTTTACAATATTTATTACCAGTTTGTTAGGTCTTTGGAAGTACATTCAAAAGGTTTTCTTTAACCTTGCCGTTTTATTCTGTTTGTTTTCTTTTTCTGTTTGTGAGAAATAAGACGTTGCTGGTATGATTACATACACTTTAACTTTGTTTTTCAGCTTGAAAATCCAAGATATTTACGGGAAAAACCAATACCAGTGTCTTTGGTAGGTATTTATATTCCCTTGGTATTTTATAAGGGCGAGCAAACATGCTTAGTAAATTTCCTTTCAGTTTAGGAATGGTTCCTAGTCAGGGTTATTACTTTGAACTCAGAATCTGTTTTTTTTTTTCTTATTCAATAGAAGACATCCAAAATCGGCCTAGGAAAAAGTAGCAGTTTCCAGGAGGACCCAGCACTGTTTCGAATGCATGAAAAGGAGGTAAGGTGCTATTTAGTCTTTTTAGGATTATAGCTAACTTAGCAAGTTGGGGCATTTGTTTGTTGATTTGAGTATTCGTAGGGCAGCTTTTATACCAGAAAATCTGATGTATTTTCCCTGAAGTGATTGGGTTTTTCATTAAATACTTAATGTATTTCTCAATTACTTAGGGAATAAAAGACTTTCTGAATACACAGACTAGACTTTTGAAGGAATATTTTGTGTTGGAAAGTGGGAATCTAGGAATTTTCCAGATCTACCTCTTCTCAGAGCAATGGATCTCGGGATTTATCGAGTTAACTTTCTGTATGTCTTTGGAAATCCACAGATGTAAACCTGATTTCTATTAAATCCTACATTATTTCTGTTTCCCTCATTTAGCTCCAGTCCTCTTCGTTTGCATTTTTGTTTTGTTTCTTTTGAGTGTTGTTTTTTTTGGCAAGAATAATGATGATAATATGACGTGCCTATCTAAATCTCCCATACTCTATAATTTTGTTTTGAACTTCGGGAGTATTTTTGTGGCCATTCCTTTTTTTTTTTTTGGTAGTTCAAAACCTGAAAATAAGTTGTATTTTTCTGATATTTTTGCCATAATCTAATTTAATTTAAAACCAGCCATTTAAAATCAACCATGAGGTAGAACTTGAACGTAAAGCATTTAGGACATAGATTCTTCTGCAGTCTTATAGTCATTACATATTATTTGGAATGGTCTGGTAGACCAGACTTCAGGAAGTCAAATTCAGCATGTACTGGGAAGAAAACAAAACTGAAGCCCAACTTTCTTTCTGTCTTCAAATCCTTCAACTTTCTGCTTTTAGTTGTATGTTCTTGGGAAAATAAATCATGTATTTGCAGGGAACCTGGTATCCAAAGGTCCTTAGATGTATGTAGGACAGATATGAGATGGAAAGGAAGAGGTGTCAACTGGAAACTGAAATAATTCCTCCTTTACATGCATGGTGTGTTGTAAGGGCACCTATGAATTGGAACTATCCTGAAGCTGATTTCAAGAACACTTTAGAAGACATAGGGGGGGTTATATTTGCTTTGCAGATGCTTTTGTTGTTAATGAAGTCATGTATATGAAAGTTTACTCTGTGTTGGTAACTGGCAATCTAATGTGATGCTTAAATAAGCAGCCTGATACCCCAGTTGTGTGGTACGTGTGTATTTCACTTTCTCTGCACTGTTCAAATATTCACTGTTCTTTCACACTGACTATTCAACCACCATTGCCTCAGGATGAGGCAAGACAAGGTTTCACAAGATGTGAAAATAGACTAAAAAATAACTAACTTGTAAGCACATTGTTGTCATCTAAATAATATTTTCAAATTAAATGAACAGGAATGCATGCCAAGTTGCTACACAAAATACTCAGTGAATGATTTTCTCGTTCTCTGGAAAAACCCTTCAAACCACGCAGTAAAAATCTGGTACTTCTCGCTAATGTTGCTTTACTGTGGGGTAGTTTAAACCGGAAAGGTTGTGAAATACTTTCTATAATCACCCTGTGTGTGCTATTAAATAGAAAAGTTAAATGTGTTTTCTTCTTACTTTGTGAAGCTCAATTAAGAATAAAGCCTTTTCATTTATAGAATATAGTTGCATTAACAGGAGAGAGAAAAGTGCCATACTAGAGTTTGCAAACCTTGAGATGTTTTCAACCTCTTTGTAGTAGAACAGGAGAACATAAAATAGGATAACTGTGGTTTTTGGCTTTTAACCTTTAGACCTTTGTTCGTAAACCATTCCTGCACCTGTTTTGACTCTGTAATGCTAAGCACATGGCTATTTTCAATGATAACCACATCACAGTTTTATGAGAATGTAATCATCATCAGGCAGCGGTTTTTACTAATATTTTCCCCAAATACTTCTGACATGGATTAAACCATTTGGGAAGCTGCCATTGCTGAAGAATCCTGGGTTTAACCAAGGAAGATGCAACAAAACAAATGTATCAGTTTTCAGCAGTACAGCAAAACAGAACAGTTTGCACAAGGAGCTTATCTTGATAAATAGGAAAAAGCTTCACTTTAAACCTCAGCATGGGTCATCCTGGGTGCTACTCAGTACTCCACAGAGTGAAGGAAGGCAGAAGAAAAGTCAAGTTCTTATCAGTGGTTTTCAGAAAAATAAAGGCAACATTACTGCTAACATTCAATTTTGAAATACTTTTGCAATTTAAAAGAAGAAATAAATTTGATAATCATTTGTTAAACCTTTTTCAAATAACTAGCTTACCTGAATAATATATCCTTCAAAGAAGCTTTGATGTCTATTTAAAGAAGCTCAATTTTTTTTATTTTTCATTTTGGTCAGTCTGAACGAAAAAAAATTCTTTTAAACTGAAGTTTACCAAGATCACTAGGAGTAAATTAAATACTGAGTGCTATATACCAACTGTACTATTATTAATATTTTATTTCTCGTTCTACACAATGTTAGTGCTTTGTGCCATAGCTACTACAAAGCTTCATCTGTCTGGGATAACTGAAAACATTGAGTGTTTGCAATATTTTTGATGACTTTATCACTTTATCCAATGATAATGTTTGGGTTTTGGAGTGCAGATGCTTTCCCAGCCTTCTGTGTCCCAAAGCAACGTGGCAGAAGTGGTCGTGTTTTCATCTGGAGCAGTGTTGTGTTGTGCAACTGAAGGGAGGAGTAGTTGTGCGGAGGTCGAGGGTTGGATTTTCAATAGAATATGGAATATCTGCAGGATAATTTCTCCCAGTTTGTTATGTGGAATGAGGACTGAAGAAGAGAGGGTTAAGAGCTGAATAATGAAAGGCACCTGAAAGTGCAGAGAGGGAAACTTCTTTCTCCTGGAAATGCATTTTATCTGATTGAGGTCTGTGTGAAAGCCAGGAAGGAAGAACGTGTTTGTTTTCTATCTTTTCAAGAATTGTTTAAAATAGAGATGTAGAACTTTTGCCTTTTAATATTCATTTATGTTTCTCTCCTTCATCTGTGAATAAACACATTTATTGTGTGAAACAAAACTTGTTTGAAAAGGCCATCAAGCCGTATGTATAGTTCTGCTGTAACAAAATTTCTGGGATTTATTCATACGTATATGCTAAGATAAAATCAGCATGCTGCAGTCTTGATCTGGCTGAAAGTGTTCTGAATGTAAGGTGCTGAAAGCAGAAGATTTACTGTGCTTCTCACTTATCTGGCAGGAGATTGTACCTTGAAAGTGGGGGTTGTTAAGGGCTGTGATGTAGAACATTGGATGTAGTGGAAAGAGAAGGCGGGGAGGGAAGGAAGCTGCAGAGTTTGGGAGGTATTATCAGTGAAGGGAGGTGGAGTTTCAGAAATAAATGAGTAAATGTGGAAATAAAGTATGTGCCACTGCAGTTAAAAGGAGACGGGTGTGCTGTGTTTGAATGAATCAAAATAGATCAGATTAGGAAATGATTAATCAAGAGCAGTGGGACTGTGACTATAATGTCAATGTCACCTGCTGTTGTTTTCTCCTTTCTTCAGTTGTACGAAGGGATCAGTGGGCATTGTCCTTCTGGTTTTGATTTCTTCCTCTTAATTGCTTTATTCTATGCCGAAGTACTTAAATACATGAATGAGACACTTAATGCATGCCAGAAAAGAAACAATAAATAAAACTAATATGGAGACAGTATTCTAAAAGAAGGATACTTGTAATTAAATTAAGCTTGTACTGATGTAAAATTAACATTATTTTGCTCTGAGCTACAGCATGGATTTGATATTTTTCCTCATTGAAAACATATTTTGTTCATATTTTCCAAGAATGGGAACAGAGTCTATCAGTATTGTTCTTTTACACAATAACAAAGCACAAACTCCTGATAACATGGGGAGGGAGGTTTCCCTATGACTACAGATGCAAAATTTCAGGACCTGGACCTCAATATTCACTGGGTCCTGTGTATTTGGTGGAGTCCCCCTGGAGGTGTTTGAGCAACACAGAGATGTGGCACTGGGGGACATGGTTAGTGGGGATGGGTTGGGGTGGAGCTTTGTGATCTCAGTGGTCTCTTCCAACTGTAATGATCCTATGATTCCATGTAGGGACATGGCTTAGTGGGCATGGAGGTGATAGGTCAATGGTTGCACCTGATGATCTTAAATTCTGTTGTCGTTTGTGTGCAAGAAAATCCAAAAAGGCAGATAAGTGATTTTTTTATTTTATTTTTTTTTACATCTCTGTAACTTTTTCTTGTGATAACTTGGGGTAGGAAAATACTTTCATTTCCCTTTAAAAATGTTCCAAGCAGTCAGTATTGTGACTTCAAATGTTTCATTTCAGTTTTTTTTTCTTTATCCACAAACCTGATGTCTGTTTTGAATTCAGTCTCTGATTTATTTTGAGAATTGAGTTGTAAACTGACTCTCACTGCTTAGTTATCAATCTGAGCAGTGATCTGTTAGTTCACATTTAGAAATGCAGCAATCTTGACTTCTGTTAACATGATTCCTGACTGATTAATGTCCTGTTCCTAAGAACATATGCAAGTTGTCCATTGTCTTCTGTATGAGGAAATCACATCCTGTCTGCTTTGATAATTTTTTAGAATGTAATGTAATAAAACCCAAACCTTATTTTATTGCCAGACTGGTGTGAGACATAGAGCGTATGTCAGGATGAGACATGTTTTCATAAGCTGACTTGTGATTTATAATTCCCAATACTAATTGGTCTGGTCATAGAGATATATATGTACGTGTGTGTGTGTATATATTTATTTGCTGCAGTTTGTGAACTATGTCTTTAATTATTGCACATATGTGCTGGAGACATTGAGAAAGATCAAAGAGGTAGGTTAGCAATTCAAACTAGTGTTTTAACCAGTAGAATGTCCAGATGGTTGCCAAGCAGCTGGGAATTAATCTTTTGCTGCATGATTAATCTCTACCTCAAAGTGTCTCTTTTTCTTTTTAAGTTTGATTTTTTTTTTTTTTTTACATGTATAGATCCCATCTTTTTAAGGCAGAAAATACACTGA